AAAGCACTTAAAATGGTGACTGGCATCTACTAAGTGCTCTAAAAATACTTATGATTATTATATCAATAGATTTGTCGATACAAAATGAAATCAGAAATTTTTAAAAATAGTGGTTAAAGGGAGGGAGGGGGAAAATGAGGACCTAATGTTGGGGGTTTAAGTGGAGAGAAAATGTTTTGAGAATGATGTACAAATGCGCTTCACACAATTGATGTGTGTATGGATTGCGATAACAGTTGTTTGAGCCCCTAATAAAATGTTAAAAAAAAAAGAGAGAGAAAAAGCATACATAAAAAAAAAATAAAATAAAAAGCAAAATATTTCAACACAACAAAAGAAACATGAAGCATAAAAAAAACTGGTTAAAGATCTCATTTAAATAATTTTAAAATTGAATACCTATAATTTTAAAAGAACTTTCTTTTTTTTAAAATCATTTTATTGGGGGCTCATACAACTCTTATCACAATCCATATATACATCAATTGTATAAAGTACATTTGAACATGCGTGTTACCCTCATCATTCTCAAAACATTTGCTCTCCATGTAAGACCCTGACATCAGCTCCTACTTTTTCCCCTCCCTCCCTGCTACCCCTTCCTCATAAACCCTTGATAATTTATAAATTATTTTGTCATATCTTAACACTATCTGACGTCTCCCTTCACCCACTTTTCTGTTGTCCGTCCCCCATGGAGGAGGTCATATGTAGATCCTTGTAATCGGTTCCCTCTCTCTACCGCATCCTCCCGCCACTCTCCCGGTATCGCCACTCACCACTGGTCCTGAAGGGATCATCTGTCCTGTTTCCAGTTCCTATCTGTACCAGTGTACATCTTCTGGTCTAGCCAGACTTGTAAGGTAGAGTTGGAATCATGATAGTGGGAGGCAGGAGGAAGCATTTAGGAACTAGAGGAAAGTTGTGTTTCATCGTTGCTACACTGCACCCTGACTGGCTCCTCTCCTCCCCCTGGCCCTTCCTTAAAGGGATGTCCAGTTGCCTATCAATGGGCTTTGGGTCCCCACTCCGCACTTGCCCTCATTCACAATATGATTTTTTGTTCTTTGATGCCTGATAGATACCTCATCTCTTCGACACTTTGTGATCACACAGGCTTCGTCCATGTAAGCTTTGTTGCTTCTGAGCTAGATGGCCACTTGTTTACATTCAAGCCTTTAGGTCCCCAGACGCTATATCTTTTTCTTTTTTTTAAATCGTTTTATTAGGGGCTCATACAACTCATCACAATCCATACATATATCAATTGTGTAGAGCACATTTATACATTCATTGTCCTCATCAGTCTCAAAACATTTGCTCTCCACCTAAGCCCCTGGCATCAGCTTATTTTTCCCCTCCCTCCCTCATGAACCCTTGATAATTTATAAATTATTATTTTGTCATATATTGCCCTGTCCGACATCTCCCTTCACCCACTTTTCT